CCCCAAAACCCCAAAACCCCAAAACCCCAAAACCCCAAATGTGAGGAGAAAAATTGAGATTTAAAACTGTTTAAAATTTCTAGCTTTTCATAATAATTCGGACAAAAAGTCTGGAGGCTTAAATTTCTAATGCCTAACCATGAGCATTGTTGTATCTCCCATTATAGATGTCATCTGTATAGCCTCCTTCTTCTTGAGGGGCAAAGCCTCCATATCTGCCTCGTCTGCCATACCTGCCATTGTTCCTTCCGCCACGACCATGGTAGGCTGGGTCAAACTCATTGGCATATCTCGGGTCAAATTTGGGGTTATAGTACCTCCTAAACATCGCTTCTTCCTTCTTGATTGGATCAATGATGGTGAAATATTTCAAAGCCACATAAAAGAAGATTCAAAATACTATTATTTTTACAAAAATAAGAATGTAAGAAATGATTCGGCAAAACTCTCTGATACCATGCTCCACTTCGCCATCATAGGTATGTTTGTCTGGCCAATCGCTTGTAACGATGAGGAAGAGTATATCGAATATTATTGAGAGTGCTATTGATAATACTAAAAACCAATACATCCTTTGTGTTGAATGGAAAGGAATAGAGACTAAAAAGAATCCAAGTCATCAATTGCAGACATCCCAGAAGTCAGGTCTGTAGAATCAAGCAAGTAATGTAAAGAATGTATAAACAGCGAGAACTCCTAGTAAAAACCAAGTCCAAGGGAAGTTTTCTGTCAGTCTTGTCAATCTTTCAGAAATTTTTCCTCCAGATCCTTCTTGAAGAGCGGAAGTGATTTTCTTGTCCATCTTTTTCTCCTCTTCTTCAATATTAAAAATCGCATGAGATTTATCAGAAAGTTCTACCATTTTACGAACAGACTCCAGTTCTATTTCTTTAGCATCCAATTGTCTACTAAGTTTTTCCTTTTCTTTCTCAAAGTTAGTGTTCCCATGAGCAATGTGCTGGATTATTAGCTTGAGGCTTGAGTCAGTCTCTTTATTATTCTCGTCAAGAAGATAAAGTGTAACATGCTCTTCTTCTCCATTTTGTGAGTAATCTTCAAGGTCTATGTCTATTTTCCCAATAATATCATCTTTCATAGCTGCATCATAGTCATAAACAGTGATTTCCATTCTAACATCTTTGGCTACTTTATCGAATTCGAAAGTTTCTATCCAAAAAGGATTAAGATTTGTTTTATTTTACTGTAGTTTTAGAAACCTGACCAGCATAGCTTAAGATCACATACGGGTCTGAAGTGCCACTCAGGACATCAGCGATTTCCAAGTTTCTTGCTTCTACCACTGTAACCTTATACAAATTTTGTATCCTCGCCATTTGATCATAGTACCCACTAGTAGCTCTGTATTGATTCTCATTCAAAATTTTATACTTTAGCTCAAGGTCTTCCATTTCTTCCTTAATCACCTCTTCTTTGTCAAACAGTTTCTGATGCTTAAGCAGCACAGCCCGAACATATTCTTGTTTCGTAACTTCACCATCAGCGTCTAGATCTAATTCATCCATGACTCTGAAGAACATTTCCTCTTCCTCTTTAATTCGGTTTTTGACCTACAAATTATTTTAGAAATATTCCAGATTTAAAGCCAGGACTAAGAAGTCCACCAGGTAATTAAGTTCAAATAAATTCAAGGTTAAAAATTCATAAACTTGGGAGACTAAGTTTAAAAAATAAAACTTGTTGTATTTCGTTAAAATAGAAGAATAAGAGATTTGTTAGAAATATGAAATAAGACTTCTAATTTTCTGGAGTTGTAATGCAAATCCTTACTTCCTCACTGTCTCCCTTTGCCTTTTTGGCCATTCTATATGGATTAAATATATGAATCACTTTTGATAATGCTTATTTAGCTCTCTTATCCAGGAAATCCCTAATTTCTTGTCGATCTAGAGTTCCACTTTTATCAGTATCCATCACATCAAATTCCTTCTCAATCTGTCTATTTTCTCTGTTCAGTCATGTCAGCCATTTTTCTTTCTGTTTTTGTACTAAAATGTTATGTCACCAAAGCTTACTCTCGGTAACCACGAGGTCTGTCAAATCCTTGCACAACTTCTCTGTTTGAATACATTAACGTTTATTTTAATTTTTAATTATCTAAATGGGGTTTTGGGGTTTTGGGGTTTTGGGGTTTTGGGG